GCAATCCTATGCATCTATCCTATGCATAGAACTCCCAGCATCCCCCAGCCAACATGGTTGGCTAGGGAATGCTGGGAAATGTAGGACTTGTTTTTATTTAAACATGCTTAGGAATGTGGCTCAATATATTTTTTTTTCTTCACTAATCATACAAACAAAGGAAGTTTATGTTGATAAACTATATTTTGTTTTATGCAAACTAGACCATTTAAAATGTTAGCCAGATGTACCAGATAGTTCATGTTCTAATGACATTTCTTGGTTTTTATGCAAATATCTATATCATTTATGGGTGGAAACCAAAGACAAAAACTGTTTATATCTAAAGCATTTAAAAAGAAGAGGGGCTACATTGATATAGGACAAGCCACTAAACTATTTTTATTTGAAAAGTAAATGAGGGATGCAAAGGTTACATATTTACCAAACTTAGATTACAATCTTATCCATGTTTAGACAGGAAAAATGTCTTGCAACTCCCAGCACGCTCCAGCCAGAATGCTGGGAATTACAGGATCCTTTTCCGTCTAAACATGCCTAGGATTCCACTTCTTGTTTATGAAAGACATGGTAGAGCTTCATTAGTGACTCCAAAAAAACAAATTTGTTCATTTTTAAACAAAAACCGACATTATTCCAGAAACAAAGTGGTGTTTCATCTGACAAATGAGAAGGCAACAAGTAAATACAACTGTACAAATGTTCATGTTTGCTGGAGTGACATTATGATCGTGTTTCCAGATGTCACTAGAAGTAACAGGCACTGCAGAGGTTGGAATTCAGAAAATAGTTACCGGCACAACCTCTGTTTTATTTCATGTACAGTATCCAGAATCAAGCAGGCAAAGCACTGGGCAAGAAACCTTGAAGCTGGTGTGAAGAATCCCAAGCATCAACATGTTCTTGTACAGAAATGCATCCAGATTATATCAGGAGGGCCATGTCCCCCCAGTTGCCATTTGTGGCATTACATATATTCACTAGAGTGTTTGGGGAAGGGGCATAGCTCAGTGGAAGAGGACCTGCTTTGCTTGAAGAAGAGTCAACACCTGCATCTCCAGGTAGGGCCAGGAAAGAACCCTGCCTGAAATTCTGGCAAGGCACTGTCAGTCTATGTCACCAGCACTCAGCTAGAAGTACCAATGCTCCATCAGAGTATATGGCAGCTTCTTATGTCCCACATGACGGCTGAAGCTGAGGGCCCCTCTTATCACATTACCTGTAGCACCATGGGAGCCTCTGTTGGATGAAGTCAGAAGCAACGCAGTAGTAAATGCTGCAGCTGTTTCCCATGCCAGCTTAGCCCCAGTTCTCAGGAGAAGCTATCCCTCACACACGAAAGACAGGAAATATGTTCCCCACAATCACAGAATCCCAAACTTCCCAAATGGCACAGGAGACAGCGAGGCGACATTTACTGCTCCCACTCCACTGAAGGCAACACCACAAGGGTCCTACTCTTGGGCTGCTCATCGCTGTAAGTAATGCTGTAGAGGTGCAGTGACGGTTTTCACAATTATCACTTTGCAAACAAGTCAAAAGACATGCACCTTTCAGATTATCTTTGAAGGATGACTGAAAAGATAGGCCCCAAAGGGAAGCTGCCAATATTTGCTTCTTGTTCCATCCTGCAACACATAATTAGTTTAACTTACTCTTTCTGAAACTTTAGCTGTATAGGGTGGTAGTGCTGTATGGTATCAAGGAGTTCCACTTTACCATTCGTCTGTGATACAACAAAAGCATTCACAAAAAGGTTACCACACAATGAACATAAACTACAGCCACTATCTATTGTTGCCTCCTATTTATAAAGCCTTCCATGGCTTGGGACCACTGTACCTGTTGGACTGTGTCTCCAAACCGTAATCGAGTCCGATATGATGCTCAACCTCTTGAGCCTTTCTCTAAGTGCCAACTCCATGAGAAGCTCAGAGGATGGCAACAAGAGGGAGGGCTTTCTCTGTGGTGGCCCCCTTCTATGGAACAACCTCCATACTGTGGTCTGCCTGGTGACAACTTTGTCATCTTTGTAGTGCCAGAATAAAACAGCCCTAGCATAAGCTGAGGTTTTTAAAGGCATACTTGATATGAGGTTTGAGGAGATGACCCAGCCAAAGTAATTTTGCTTTTACAGGGCCATTCCTCACTGTTTACATTTCTTTAATGCTTCTTTGTCAAGATTTTATTGTATTTTTACTGTATTTCCACCCTGTTGTAAACTGCCTAGAGAGCTTCTGCTAAGGGGTGTTAAGAAGTGAAATAAATCATCGTCATATTCATCATCACCTACCCTTGCCAAATCCACCCATATAAATATGTAATGTGGCAGTTTTCCTTTGCTAACTAGAAGAAGACAATACTGGATGCAGAAGGGGTTGACAAAGCGGAGAGCACACACAAGAGAAAGAAAGGACCTAAAACAACATTGGAAGCCAAAATGCATGGTTGTGTATTTTGATTTAAGTATCAGCTTCTACTGAACAAGAACACTAAACAATTCATTCTTGGCCCAAGCAAGGTTGTCTTCCATTTCTGCCCCTCCCACCCCACCTCTGGATTGTCTCTTCATGTCCCTTCCATTATTTCTTACTTCTTCCACATTCTCGGTAATGCAGAAAAGCAGCTGCAAAAAGCCTCCTGATTGCTCCCACTAGCAGCTCTCCATCTGGACACACCTTAAGACAAACGACCAAAACCCGAGCTCAACACTGTACACTGGAAAACTACCAAGGTATCCTTTGTGCACAGAAACTCTCACATCTTCCCTCTTTAACCAGGATGATTCTGAATACAGGAGACCAGTTAAGGGTCTCCAGGTTCTGTGGTCTTAAAGGTTTGTTCAGCATTACCAACTCTCTGTTATGTGCGTGCATGTGTACATGTGAACAGTACATATAAATATGTAATGTGCAATCCCTTACATTCACTACTTTTCATGAAACTTTATATAAATAAAGTTCTTCAAAAAGAGTTTCCTAGATCAAATACATTCAGCATTAACAGCTTTGGTCAAGCTCCCAAAGCCAAGTTTTGTCTGATGCAACAACAAGAGTTGGTGTGTGATATGAGTTGAAGGTTAAGTGCTACCATTATGCTTCTATCTGCAATAAGCTTCCCATCCTGCTTTTAAACAGAGAAGGCGCATACATCTTCCGAAATGGTTGGCTAGAGAAGTGGGGAGTGAGGAGAAAGAAGGCTGTAAACACACCGGACACATCCAAACATGTTGCTAAGTGTTCTGTCACAAATGTGGTGGTTCAGTTAAAGCTCAAAATGTAATAATCACAAAAAAACCACAACCTAGTTCAGCTGTGGGTGAGCAGGGAACCAGTGGGATGCGGGGAGACAGGAAGAAATGATTATCAAAAGGCACTTCAGGTTTTTATACTGTGACTGGATTCAGGCAACACAAGAACCCTTACTCCAAAAGTGTGTAAGGGTTGGTCATGGGCTGTTGTTGAACTGTGGCTTGTTGTTCAAATGCACATTCATTGACTAAGCACAGCCAAGATAACAAACCTCGGCAAACACCTCCCAGCCTAACAACAAGCCATAGGTTCGCTTCATGAGTTGTTCATGTCCAACAAGCCAGTGTTTGCTGGCACAGCTGCTTTCAGACAACACAATAATCCACGTTTCAACAACAATGCACACTCAACCCTTGACAGTGGGTACCCAGTCATTAACTGAAGCATAGTCCACCGTGAGTTACTCAGGCAAAGATCCACCACAGAATGGTATTGTGCTTTACACAGTTCCTGTGTGTTCCAGATGTGGGATATAGAGGAAAATTTAGGGGTCCAAACAGCATACACTTCCATGTCCCCATGTCCCTCCTTCGAAAAAACAAGCAGAAAAGAAAGGGTATCTCTGTCAACCAAACATTAGAGCACCTAGCAAAAACAGCAAACTGATTTGACATTTAGTTTTGTTTCCGTTTGTTTGTTTACATCTAGTAATGTTACAGTAGGGTTGATTTTCCAGTCTTATTATTACTGGAGGTCTGATCTGCAGTCCCAAGCACACTAGGCAGAGAGGTGAGCTTCAAAAGGGACTGGCTCCTTTCTAAGCATGGGACTAACCATTTCCCTGGATGTGAATACTGTTCAGAGGGATACCAAGAGGCACAACATAACAGGATTTATAGGAACAGCTGCTCTTCCTGGGGAGTTCAATTTGTGCCTGATCTCAGTCAGAGCTTTCCTAACAAGTCTGAGATGTCAGAGCAGCTGCAGGAAACCCAAGGACCCTCAGATCCTTTCATTAGCACAGGAGCAAATGAAAACAAACACATGTAAAGTGATTCCTTTAGTGCAAAGTATTTCGTTTGACTTTACTGTGATGCCTCCTCACTGCCACCACTTCCAAGCAACTCTTCCGAAGCAAACAAAGGAAAAAATCTCCCCCACCCCTGTCATATAGCTGCCTGAGAGTGATAACAGGTCTGCAGCTAGAAGGTTACTAATCAGCCTTCTTTCTGTCTCTCTCTCCCCGAACCATAAAATGCTACGACAACCTTTCCATGTGTTGTGAAAGAGAGAGAGAGGGAGATGCACATGGGATGTGGCTGCTGTCCAAGACAAACACCCTGTCTCAGCAAGTAGAAAAGCTGTAGAAAGCAGTGTAAATAAAGTAGAAATTTCTTTGGCTGGAAAAATAAATAGAACAACAATGGAACAGTACAAGAATGTCGAGTGATAATCCCCCAGTATGACTAGAAGAAAGTTTGTCAATTATTTCCCTTATCCAGATATTCCAAACAAGTGTGTACATCCCATTATTCCCAGGATAGTCTGCCTGCAGTGTTTAATAGATAGAAAACTAGGTTTTGACCACTTTCTCCCCCTGCAGCCTTTAAACAGTTTCCACCCAACTCAGCAACATTAATAACTAAAGGCAACTTTGATACAATTTAACACTGATGCACTCATAGCCCCAAACAGCTGAACACAGCAATACATAAAGTCATAGCAAAGCCCCGCCAAAATGAAACTTGCCTCTCCTCCATGCCCATCGAATATCCCAAATATGGAAGGATGAGTCTTGTTCACGAGGTCAGTGATGACTTCAAACCTGTCCTCCATGTGGTCCCTCCGCCCTTGGATGGAGTACACAGCCACATTGTGGTTCTTAAACTCCCAGGTCTTGGAGAATTCAGCATCCAGAACATCCAGACCACCAAGCCGGTCATTCTGCATGATCTCGGCCACTTTGCCCTTCACCATCTTCACAGCATCCCTGCTGGACTTGACGATGGTTTTCACTTCATCCGTATGGAAGAAGTAGCTCCAGAGGGCTAAGCTGATGCATAGCAGGAAGAGTGTCTCTGGTCTCAGCAAGAAGTAACGCATGATCCGACCCAGCAGAGAGAGCAAAGTCATTGTATCCTCTATCATTTATTACAGAAACAGAGGATCCCCCACACACACCATGCACCACACACCCTGATCGTTGGGATGGGTCTAAGAAGAAGGCAGCAAATCAGTGCATGCTCTGGTGATACAAACCCACTGAGGGCAGGGTTATTTGCTGCTGCTAAAACCGCTGCCGCCTCCTCTCTGCACACCACGGCTTCGGAGGGCTCAAGTCACAGATGGCTGGGGCAGCTCTGATGGCAAGTTGTCGAGATCAGCACACCGTGCAACCAAGGGCAGGCTTATCTGTCTCCTCTCTGGCTCTTGCCACTTCCGACAAGCATGCAGCTCCCAGGCAGACGGCTGAAGGAGATCAGCTGCAAAACAGCAAGCATCAGCACATGAGGGGACGAGCACTACAAAGCCAGCAGCCAGAGACCCAGCAGCCTCCGAACGCTCCTGCAAAGTGCTCTTGTTACAAGCCTTATACAGCCACAGTGGAGCAGAGAAGGATACGGTGCTCATACAAAAGGATCTTTCCGTCTTCACCTTTCCTTCGCTGCTTTTCCCAAGCACTCGCTCCAGCTGCCTCTGAAGTAGGACACTTGAGCAATTCATACCCTGCTAAGGCAACTTCACCCACATCACTTTCTCCAGCTGCCGCACAGAACAGATGCTATGGCAGGGTTCAGGGCGGAGAGATCAAGAAGCCCGAAAGCTCCCCCACCAATAAAAACCCCTGAAAAAATGCCACAAGGCAAACAAATGCACGCTGCGAAACAAGGGACAATGAGGAGGAAGGCACACAAACCGCGGTCAGCACACTTTATACCACACGGATGGAAGCTGGACCCCCCCCCCCGCAAATTGACAGCTGCCCAGACAGGGCAGCAAACATCAGAATGGGAAGACAATGCCAATTGCTTCGAATGAGAAGTCAGATTACAGGGTTTCAAGGAAATAAATCATGGAAGCATTCTGCAAAAAGAAGGAACAAGACTTTGAAACAGGGCCAACCTGATAGGGAACGAACCCGGAGTTCCTCCGGCAATCCTGGGCACAGCTCGGGCACCAACGCTGTCCCACCCACGACCTTTTCCTTCCCAACCCTATTGGCATTTAGCAGGACCGAGCACATCCCTTCCTTGCCCCCCCTGCAGCCCGTTTGCTCCCCCTTTCTCCACCCCTTATCAGACCTTTGAAACTTTTTTACGGGCATCTCCTTCGAGTGAAGACCTCTCTGCGTCCGGCACTGGCGTTATACCGCAGGCCACGGAGGGCTGCCCACGCGCACCTCGGGACGCTCGGAGAGGGATGGGCAGAAGGGATGTGGCGTGGGGACGGGCGCCCCTGAGCCAGCCCCCCACCTGCTCCTTGCTGCCGCCGGAGGGACTGGTGCAGAGATTTACATGCTACGGAGACTCCGCGGGAAAGGCGGGCAGGCAGGCGAGCAAGGGCGCCTCGTGCCGCTTCTCCATTGCTGCAAAAGGCGCGCGGCACGTTCGCCTCCAGAAGCGGGTCGGGGCCGGCCGGCCGGCCGGCTCCCCTGCACTCCTCGCGGCTCGTATTACACACACGCGCGCGCCGCCCTCCCTCGGGCCTCCGTCTCGATGCGGGAGGCCCGAGACCCCCCGCCGCTCTCCTGCCGTCCGTCTCCCGCCCACCGCCGCCCTCCCCGCGGGTGCTGTCACCTGCAGGGCCGCCCGCAAGGTACCTGTCGCCCCTTTCCTTTCGCTCCTGTCCCTCCCACTGGGCTGGGCTCGCCTGCCGCCCGTGCCGCCTCTCCGACCTGCCCTTGCCTACAAATCCCGGTGGCCCCAGCGCCCAAGAGCTCTGCTATGATTGACAAGCAACCTGCGCCAAGGGGTTTCTGGGGCTTGTAGTCCTCAAAAGCAGGCATGCTCTCGCGCGCCCTCTGCCGATGCGTATCGCAGCCTTGGCTTGAAAAACCGAGGATGGGTCTTAGCAGTGGAGGTTGGGTGGGTTGGGCACCCCATTAAATTTATTTTTCTTTCTCAAAGCGTAGTTTGTTATTTATACTCATAGTGTTGTTTGAGCCATTTTCACTGTTTTGTCAGCTGTGCTAAATAGTAGACATGGAATCTGTAAACATTTGAAATCACATTCAATATATTCAATATGTTTTGTGTTTTCCCTGATAATGCCCTTCCAAACAACCTGATGGAGACTTCTGGAGACTTCAGAAAGTTTCCTACTGCTGAAACAATAAACATGTGCACAATAAAAACGTATAAACAGCTGTTTATAAATTGAAAATCCAAATTTTGATTCCATCGAATGTAACTGGAACTGAGTTTCCACAAGTTGCCTGTCATGACAAGAGGCCAAGAGATACAACTTCATGCCATGCAGCACTTATCTGACTTCTGGTCACCCTGAATGAGGTTTATAAACTGGAGATATATATGGCTGGGTGCTGAATTGCATCTTTCCCATATGCATCTCCCACAAGGTGCCCGAGTGAAGCACTGCCTTTTAGTGCCACCTTTACTGGGGTTCAAAAGAATGGCTCTGTGTCTCAAAGCTGAACCCACTCTTCTGCCTTGTACCAAGGGAGAGTTACTTTTCCTTTGGGGAGGTTTTCAACCACTTAACTGAGGCTTCCGCTTCAGGATTTTTTGTGGTATCAAGACTCACCCCTTTACTGAGGATTTTTACTGGGGGTTTTCTTTCCTTTCTCTATTTTACATTACCTAACCACAAGATGGTGCTGTGGTAAGGCAGAATTGCATTAAAACAGTGTTTCATTGCATGATTTCTAAATAGTACACTTTACACTTTCCTTGCTCTAAAACTCTAAAAAGAAAAGCTGCAGAAATACTTGCAAAGCATGAGAGAGGCCCTGGGGGAAGACAACTTCATGCAAACTACCATGAGGGAGGAATTATGGGCACACAATAAATGTCTTGAGTAGAAACCCCCTTTTGACAACTGTTTGGTGTCCAGCCATGCTAACTATGGCACCGATTTTGTGAAGAGGCGAGCCTCATTGCCACTTTTGGGATTGCCCACAATAGTATCTCAGAATTTCAAATGTGCTCATCAGCCCAAACAGGTTGAAGTCCATGCCATACCCATGCTCTTTCTTGGAGATGTGGGGAGCTGGAATGTCTTTACAAATCCCCTGTCCAAATGATGTCAACAGAAAGGAAATTGCTTACGCCAGGTGTAGGGCATTGCCATGAGCTGAATGAGTCAGCTCCCCTCTTGAGTCACCTGCCCATGTCTCTATGCTGTTTCAGACACTCTAGCAGTATATTTTGCTGGAGAAACACCTCCGCTGTGAACTCTTCTACTGCCATACTTGAGGAGTGCCACTGGCATGTCTATAACGGCAGGATCATACTCCAGTTCTGCTTCTTCCAGATCCTAGATTCTGTCGGCAGCAGAACTTGATAACAAGATGCTCTAAAACCCCATTCATTTCTATAGGAACCAGAAATAAGCACATGTTTAAGACAAAGTCGCCCATTTAACACATCAAATGGACTTGAAAGTTTCATTTTGGCTGGACTGTGGCCTATATTTATTGCAAGGAACCAACAGTCATGTTAAAAGGCTTCAGAATGATTCATTGCAAAGAGGATAATGTGGTAACCTCTGGGAGTTTTCTGAACACTGAAGTGTGTGTGTCTGTGTGTGTGTTAATGCAAGCTCTTTAGAGGAAAATGTCACGGAAAATGTCATTTTTAGGGTTGATGACAGATTCAAGCAAAGAGCAGGCATATAAAAATAACAAGCACTATTTTAAGGACACTTGTAAGTTCACTGGTTCATATAATTATCTTCCACTCAGTTCTTTTTACATCATCTTTAGCTCTTTTATCTGAGCAGGTCAGCCAACACTTGTTAATTAGAGAAAATGAACCTGAAAACTAGTAATTGGTTTTGTTTTTGTATATGAACAGGTCAGCCTCAAAAAGAGAGTTTGCTAATAAACAGAGATAGCTACCTTGCTATGTCAAAGGAAGAGAATTATCCCATCAAGTTTTATGTTCTTTTTTATTTACTTGATATATAGATAAGTTTACTGTTATGCCCTTGCAGCCTAACCATCCAAGCAGAGATCATTTTAGGGTTGCAAGCATTTACCCAGGGTTTTGGTTCCCTTCAGATGAGGTCACTGGGGGGTTATAGTGGATTGTAATGTTTATATTTGGTTGCAAATATAGAGGTTCAACAGCTGTGGAGAGTCACAGCATCCAACAACTACTGGTTCTCATCTATTTTCTAGGAGTCTTGAACTCTAAAAATGCTTCCAGAGCTCAAATTAGAACTAACTCAAGCTGTTTGCTTTGTTGATTCATTAATAGTGGATTCATTCTTTGTTAAGGGAGATGCACACTTTAACATGGTGAGAAGGTATAAGAGTAGCCAAGAACTATACCACCAGGAGACCATGTGGTATCCTAATAAGATCATCCAAGGCAGAATGGACAAAGCTGAGATGCCAAACCAAGTTGCATCCACCTTCTCCAGAAGTAATGGACACATCAGCAAAACAGAATGGACATCTCTAATGGGGTTGGGGACAGAGAAACTCCTGAAGGGCAGCTACTGGGAAGCAGTAGCTGAAGGCAACACTGGTGGAGAATCTTTCACACATGACAACAGTGATGCTTAAGCTAATGCTGGTCAGTATTGTGCAGAAAAAGACAGTGGTAAACCACTTCTCAGTCTTCTTACCTTCAAAAACCTATGATGAAACAATTCAAAATGAAACAAGGGTTTGTGCCCGAACATGAGACTCTCAGGTCATAAGACACTCAACTAGCTGCTGCAGAAGGGAAAAGGACAAGAATGAATAGAGCTGTCACTAATGATGCAACTAAATTGAAAGTTGGGAAGGATTTCATGTTGCTGATCACATTTAATGACAACCCAGATATAACAACCTAGGAACAAACCATGAGTTCCCATCCTGGGTTAACAACTGATAGTTCATAGTTCCATGTTTGCACATAACAACCCATGATTCAGGAACTCATATACAATCCAAAGATCCTGGTTCAGTCCCTGGCATCTATTTTTTAAAGAGAACAGTCATCATGAGCTGCAAAAGATCTCCGAAAGATCTGACCTGTTGCCAGTCCAAGTAGGTAATACTGAGTTAGATAAATCAATAGACAGAACTGATAGAGGATCACTTCCTCTCTCACATCCCACAATTAAGCTATGTGCATAGCACAAGAGTTGGGCAAGGACATTTCCACAGTGCCAGCAACAGGACCTGCAGGCCAGATCAGGCCCACAGTTGGTGGAGGTGGGGGGGCCTGCCCCCGCAAACCTTTGCCCTCCTCTATTT